CGCCCAGGATCCCATATGGGAGCTGGTTCTAATCCCGGTGGCCCTGCTTCCCATCTAGCTCCCTGACTGTGGCCCAGGAAAGCAGTCGAGGACGGCCCAAAGCTTTGGGACCCTGCACCCGTGTGGGAGATCCAGAAGAGGCTCCTGGCTTCGGATCGGCATAGCATCGACCGTTGTGCTCACTTGGGGAGTGAATCATCGGACGGAAGATCTTCCTCTCTGTCTCTCCTCCTCTCTATATATCCGCCTTTCCAATAAAAATAAAATAAATCTTAAAAAAAATAAAGAGATGTTGAATAGAGAAATGCCTTGGCAGAGTTGTGTTTGATAGTGGCCATTCAAATGCAAATAGGAAGGGTGGATTCTCAAAGGACGAAAAATGGAGCTGGGAAAATACTGGCTGACATCATCTTTGCCAGGATAAGAGGGGCCTGAAATGGGCCAAATCCACAACAGCGGTTGTAGGTTGTAGGGATGCTATGTGTGTGTATAACCAGTGATGTTGGCTGCACAGCAAGAAGCACAGGATAACTCTGGGATTTCTAGCCTTATGGGCACTGTGAGCATGAGGGTGTGACTGGCTCAGCTTGGCACAGGGCATAACAGTGGATCTTGGAGGTCGAAAGTGGTCAGTGTGAGGAATAGTCAGATGAGGTGTGGTTATACTGAACTGGAGGTTCCTCAGACTTTCTCCAGACACCTTTCACCTAACAAACACTCTTTGAGACAATCATCCCTTCTGAAAACTAGGTAGCCAGTAGGTCCTGGGTGAATGACGACAAAGGGAATGATGGCTCTCTCTATACTGCTCCTCCACTCCCTGCATCTCCAGGCTGCGCTGTTCTTCCGCCACAGGAAGCTGCTGTCAACATGGCCGTCTCTCCTGCAGGCTCAAGAAGAAGATCAAGGCAAGATATGAAGTGGCTGGACTGGAGCCTGAGGACAGGTGCTTCCACGACACACTTCATATCCATTCATCTAGAATGAACACTCTCAACAGCAAAAACATTTATGCATGTGACCAGTAGTTCCAAGCCTGAAACCCAGCCTTTGGCGACTCCATGGCTATGATGGAATTACGAACACATTTGGCAAACGTTTCTTGCTTGCTTTTTCTTCCTAGATTTTACAAGGTGATAAATGAATTACAATGTGGATGTTTAAGGAGATCATCTCAGGCTCTTTGTCGTTTGCGTTTCCTGATATGAATATTTGAACTCAAGATATATTTCATCTGATGTGTTTTCCTTGATTACTTATTTATTCTACTAAAATATACATAAAACCTACCATTTTTAGGCACACAATCAAATAGCATTATGTATAGTCACAATGTTCTATCTCCAGGAATTGTATCACATTGGTTTTTAAAAATATCAATTGGAATCAGAACATATGTTGCTAGTTGAATAGTTCACTTAAAGAGAGACAGAACTTCTTTTCTCCTCTAAAATGATATCTCCAGCAATTCTTTCATAAGTTGAATATCAGCTTATGGATATTTAAATTCAGCAAGGATTTTTATACTTTACAATTCTTGTGCCCTATTAGGGGAAAAAATCCCACATTTATTATTTAAATGAAGCAACACTACCATATAGTTAAACTGTACCAATGTTACGAACACTGAATCTTCTCATGAGTTCAAATGAATTTAAAGTTCAGGAATTTCATGTGGTTCCAGCCAAAGTAGAATGTGTCAGAACATGAAGTAACAATGCTTATTTGCAATGAATGCTTGCATGGCTTACGTGAACTTATAAAGGTAGGAAAATCAAATGTTATTAATTTAGCAACTGTGGACCATGATAATTAACAGAATAAGTGCATGGTGGTTACTAAACAAGAATTAGAAATATTGTGTTTGTGGGAACCCAGCTATAATTATTCCAAATTTCAACGGGTAGGCATTTTAAAGTTGGAGCAAGGTAGCAAGTGGCTGGGCACCAGTCACACAGGAGAGAACTTCTAGCATTCTCTGGAGCCTTTCCAGGTTAATCCCCTTAGCTGGCAGCATCAACAAATCAGGCAGACAGCAGAGCCAGGCTGCTCAGGGTCCTGAACCCTACTCTCCAACCCACTGGCTGTGGAGTCAACCAAACCACCCGATGTGCCATGGTTTCTTGCCCATAACATAATATTAGTCATTGAAAACTGAAAATTTACATGAGTCAAGTGTTTCAAACCGATCATGACCTATACTCAGAATACAATCCATGTTAGAGAACACCATGGCCTGGGTTGCTTCTTGATTCAAACACAGTGTGGGTATTAGGTTTCCTTTCTCCCCGAGATGAGCTGAAAGATTAGGGCAAAGAGCTCAAAGAAATTTGCAACTTTTCTCCTTCCTTTTCTTGAACATACCTGGTAGTGACCAAGGTTGACAAAATCGACCTTTCATTAAAGACAAGAGGACTGCTGACACCATGGCCCCCCACCACCAAACATTACAACCGCCCCCCCATCACCACTGCATTGTAGATGCCACATTGCCATGGGGAACGCCATCTTGACCACTGTCACAGGCATCACCAGAAATGCCACCACCACTGTGACCATTGTTACCTCTAACACTATGATAACCATCACTGCCCCCAACAATATACTACCACAGCTGTTGTCACAATGACCACCCTCCCTATCACCATCACCACCATGAGCGCTACCGCCAACACCCACTGCTAGCAGTAAGCTCGATATTCATGAGAAAAACTCATCAACTTGGAAGTGTAAGTGACATTTGGAAAGTGAATAGCAGACAAGCTAAGATCAAGTCCTGTTTCAAAGGAGTTTATAGGTAAGGTATCTGGGACTACGAAGAAGACATAGCAGGAGACATACAGGAAATAGCTAGTCCAGAGAGTCTTAGGGTAAGTTTGTTTCATATCACTACTACAGAATGATGAGATTTGGGCAGATAAAGGGGATGAGTAGGAAACTGTTGGTGTGTTGTTCACAAAATTTGAGCTAACAGTTTCAATCAAAACCTTTGGGAAAATGATACCATGGCAAATATTTGATGCAGGAGTGAAGAAGATGCTTCATGGGATAGCTGCAGTGCACACTGAAGGGCCCAAGTTCAAGTCTTGGCTATCCTTCCTGTTCCTGAGTACAGGTGCACTGAGCTGCAGCAGGTGCACTGAGCTACAGCAGGTGATGGCTCAAGTACATGAGTCTGCACCACTCATACGGGAGACGGTTGTTCCAGGCATTTGGGGAGAGAACCCATGGGGAAAGGGTCTCTGTGTGTCTGCACTGCTTTTCTGTCTCTCCACGGATTTCTGCCTTTCAAGTGAAACAATCAAAAAGTTTAAATTAGTTGATAGTGGAAGTCTTTCAGAATCACCTCTTGTACTGAGGATCCAATGCGAATGCTTCACCGTCATCTTTTATTTTTTCTTCTTTATTGAATATTAATTTTAAGTTTGTAAAACAAAACTGTGAGATAGTATGCAATAATTTCCTATATGTCCCTCATTTCCCTTAATAACATCTCATGTTAGTTTATTTGTCACAATAAATGAATCATGAGGCTTCTCCCACTGCTTTGAATTGCATTTGTTTGCAAGCCATAGTTACTGAGAGATAGAGATAGAGAGAGATAGAGATAGAGAGAGACAGAGAGAGAACTTCCATCTGTTGCTCCATTCCCTAAATGACCACAATAGCTATGGCTGGGCCAGGATGAGACCAAGAACCAGAAGCTTCTTCTTGGCCTCCCACATGGGTAGTAAGAACCCAAGGACTTGGGCCATCTTCTGTTGCTTTCCCAGGCCATCGGCAGGGCACTGGATCTGAGGCAGAACAGCCGGGGCGCACACTGGTGCTGCTTCGGGAAGCTAGCACTGCAGACTACAGCTTAGCTCATTATGCCTCAGCACATCTCCCAGTTCCTCCCAGTTTTTAAATCCAAGCTTTTTTTAAAAAAAAATTATTTATTTTTATTGGAAAGGCAGATATACAGAGAGGAGGAGAGACAGAGAGGATGATCTTCTGTCTGATGGTTCACTCCCCAAGCAGCTGCAATGGCTGGAGCTGAGCCGATCTGAAGCCAGGAGCCTCTTGGGGACCTTTCTAAATTGTTCCACCCCTTCTCATCCTCTCACTCCCTCTTCACCCTTTTGGCTCCTTTCCTCACCTCTTTCTTGTAATGTGAAGTCCTCTTTATCATACACCTCGCTCCCAGCTTCCTTATGAGTCCAGTCCTCTCTGATTCCGTTTATGAGAATGCAACTTCCCTACAACTAAGTTGTTGTTCTTGTTCTTGCTTTTATTCCCAGTGCCAAGAGCAGTGACTCACATGTTTTTGAAAAAAAAAAAGCAAGAAAAATTCGCTACATGAATGAAAATAATCAAAATCACAGAGTGGCCAAAACATCTGAGTCGAAAACATTTTATGATGTGGAAAGCAACCGCAGTCAGAACCAAGAGAGGGGTGGGCTGTCAGAGGAGCTTGAGGAATGGGGTGAATCTGTGGATAAGAGAGCTTTTTCAAAAGTCTGTCTGCATCTCTTTACATTGCAAATAAGTAAAAATATGATGAATTGAATGAAAGTTTAAAAAATGTTTCATTTTCAAAAAAAAAAAAAAACCCAGAGGTGACTTTTAAAATAAGAAAACACAGAAGAAGGCAAAAGTAATAAAATGAATGAGTAATAAATTACAGAGACTTAATTGAGGGTGTCCCCAAATAATTTAATGATAGCGTTCTATGCAAAAATGTCCATAAGACATTGTATCAACACTGATTTAATTCCAAAGTTTGTAACTGCTCTGTGATATTTCAAAGCTATACCTACTTATGCTAAGAATAATCATTCCATGGCTAAATCAGTGGAAGGTATGCAATGAGGTGACACAGAATGCAAAGAGAGAAAAGTTATCAGCTGACAGAGCCCAAAGAAGCTAAGAAAGCAAAAGAAAGCACAGACACTGTGATCGCTGAGTCAGAGGGAAGCCACCCTGCAGAGGGCACAGAGTTTCAGGGGCCGGGTACTCACTGTGCACGGGGTCTGCATCCAGGGCTCCCCATCAATCTGCATTGGCAGGGACTTGCTGGTCCTGGGGGGAATAGTTCATGCTGAGCAAATCACTGAGACACCTGATGAGACCTCGGTGACAAGTAACAAGGACACAGAGGACCAATATAGAAAGAGCTGGGCTGTAAAGGGATCTCTTCTGAGGGAGTATGGCAACAGGTGCCTCTGTGACAAGAATGGTCAGAACATCTTGGTCAATGAGGTGACACAAACCGCAGTTCAGGATGCAAGAGGAAAAAAATGCTAGGGCTTCTGCTTAAGGACTCAGTCACACCCCCCTTCTCACGGCATGGCCACCCATGAGAGAGTGTCACATTTTCCCGGTTCAACATTTTCATGTGAGCAATGCCTGTTCCACCTGTGCCCCAACCTCAGCTTGTACATTATGGCGTTAAGTGGATCTTTATTTTTTTTGGAGAAGGGGATCAAGCTCTTGAAGAGCTATTTAATTCAAAATCCAACCCACATATATAATCCTATTGTACCATAATTCATTTTTAGAGAACCAACATTGCACTGGAATCTGTGTGTGCAATGTCAGTTAACAATGCCTAGCAGCCTTTGGGTAATTTGCTCAAGAAGTCCTTTACTGGTTCAGTAAAGTAAAACAAGTGGGAACTAGTTCAAGTGTGTGTGTTGGGGTCAGTCCATCACTCTAACCACGGTGGTCAACAGAGACCTTCGGACTCCAGGGACCCTAGTCACTGAAAGTGATCAGCACTTTGTAAACCCTGTCCATTCCCCTTATAGCGGACTCTGTAAGGACTCATCGTTCGTTGAGCAATCTGAAGCCCCTCCCAGATGGATGACCATCTCATGAAGCCCCTCCCAGATGGACGACCATCTCATGAAGCCCCTCCCAGATGGACGACCTGCGAGAACTACCTGATGACCACGGAGGAGCATTGCGCCAGCCGCCGGCCTGCACTTTTCAGTCCCGTGTAGATCTGCCCCATCTCCATGGCGCCTTCCAAGCCCACCACCTCCAGCAGCTGGTCACTGAGATCTGGAAGAAAACGGATGGCCTTTCAGCACCAGGCAGGACACGTGTGCCCGTACCGTACTGCCACGTGCTACGCGGGGTGTCAGAGGTAAGAGCCACTTGCTACAGCACTCTGCCTTTCTCTTGGAAATAGAAAGCAAGCATAAGATGGTCTCGGGCTGCTCCTCTCAGTTTAACTAATCCTTGGGTTTCTACAGAAAGCTATTTGTTGTCAGTTGATTCCGAAACAAACGGCAAGAACAAACTCAGAGCCCAAGAATACCAAAACCCGCACCAACAGCTTTTACCATCCACACATTTGCCATCACTCCACCCGCACATGTAGTGCAGTAAGCATCCCGCATCCAGACGCTGGGCAGCAGATGTGCTCAACGCTAGAAATAAAGCAAGTCTGAGGAAATGTTGTCAGATTTTGCTGAAATTCCACCAACGGGAGCTCAAAGACCATAGGGTTGAAGTCTGTCATTGCAGCCATCGGAGCCCATCTCTGAACCACTGAGTGACTTGTCCCCACGCTTGGGGAACATTTTTTAAAGAAACAATATTATTTTTTGATACTGCAGATATATCTAGACTCTATCTGGCAGTAGCCTTCACAGCCCAGTACATCTGCCACCATTACTAGAATTATTAATACCTGGCTAATGAAGTGTAACTTGGTGGATGTTTACCAAGCGCATGCCACTGACGTAATCTCTCTTTATCTCATTTTCTTTCTTTGATTATTTTTTAAGATGTATTGATTATTTTTATTGGAAAGTCAAATATACAGAGAGGAGGAGAGACAGAGAGGAAGATTTTCCATCCGATGATTCACTCCCTATGCGGCCATAATGGTTGGAGCTGCAGCGATCCGAAGGCAGGAGTCAGGAATTTCCTCTAGGTCTTCTATGCAGGTGCAGGGTTTCAAGGCTTTGGGTCATCCTTGACTGCTTTCCCAGACCACAAGCAGGGAGCTGGATAGGAAGTGGGGCTGCTGAGATATGAACTGGTGCCCATGTGGGATGGCAGCACATCCAAGGTGAAGACTTTAACCACTAGGCTATCGCACCTGGCCCCCTTTATCTCATTTTTTATCCTCTGCAATCAATTTAAAACAATCATATGATTATACTGTTTACAGGTAAAGGAGTTGAGAATCTGCAGAATTAATTACTCATAACCACGTATCTCTAAAGTGTCAAAATTGGAACCGAGTGTCTTTGCTGAGTAACTACTGGGCTATATTTGACTTCTATATGAAAAGTTGTATAAAGAAGAGGGCCTTTAAAAATTACAGATTTCACTCCTACGGGGAGTGAGGCTGGGCTGTTTGAATTCCAAGGTCTCCTTCCAACCCAGATTTCCTGCTTTTGTTTTCCTTTTTTTTTTTCCATTCATAAAGTAGAGGCTGGACTCACCACAGTGGAGTCACAGGAATCCCCACCCTATTAGAGAGAGAGAGAAATCTACCCACCTGGTGAACTCAGAATGTTGGGCATTGGGCTTTGAGGTAGAAATCCAGATATATGCATATCTTTCTATTTGACATTCCTATACACTCCTCTGTATTTTCCCAGTGCAAATAAATAATTTTATGTTATTTTTGTTGCAGAAAAGCTGGAGTGGATGACGTATCATGGAAGGTTCTACAGACTACAGGAAATAATCATGGCTGGGGTTGGACTCAGAGAACAGCTAGCCGGTGGGTCTGTGGAATCCGCTCGGAGCTGAACGCACTCCCTTCTCAGTTTTCAGTGTGGAGTTGCAACTTGCGGGTGACTCATTTGCGTAGGCCAACTGTGTTGCCACAGCTGTTTGAAACCTCAAAGTTCACCAGGGCCCATCATCATTGGCCAAATGAACAAAGGCATTTGAAACAGGATGTGTGACCAATCCACCATGTTTTCCAGCGAGGGAAGAAAAAAAAATAAAATAAAAATTCTTAACTTCAGACTGTTGCTGCGGCATGAGATTGTGCCATGAAAAAAATAAATCTTCGAGGCAACAAATTCCAATGTTAACAAGTCATAATGACTTAGAACATCCACCTTGCTGTTAGAACCCCTATTTAGACTTATTTCTCATGAAAACTTATCCTATTTTTCTCGTTTAAAGTTAAGGCTGCCAAGAACAGATGGACAAGGAATAGAAACATATTCTTTCAGCTGTAGCCGGCACTAAAGTGTGCTTGGCTCTGTAGCCTGGGTGTTAACAGAAGTGCTTCTTAGAGATATGTCGACCAGAAAATGACACTGTGATGGGCACCAAAGCCCCACACGTGGGCCTGCTGATCGCTCTGAAACCACCAGTACTTGCACTACCAGCAGACTGGAGCCTGTAGGCAGGGTGTTGGCTCTGCGCTGCCTGAATCCTGAATAGCTGACTCTCACGCTAATTTTGGTAATGACTTGAAGCTAGCTGGTGAGAACTACACCATAAGAAATAGAATGCGCTTCGCGGAGTTAATCTGTGAGCCCTAACTTTTCCATGAATCATAGGGATTTGTCTACACCCACACCATATTGCCACTGTCTACCACCCTCCTCCTGTTTGATCTTTTTCCTCTTTTAATTTCCCTTTGTTTTTCTTACTGCAGGAATCACCCTCCCCCCAAATTAATTCTGCTGTTAATACTTAGGAATAAAGTTATTTCTCATGGATTTAGATGATCTGGCTAGTCCAGGATTCATGTTCCTTTTAACGTTCCAAAGTCACCTGAGAATTGTTTAATTCTGGGAAAGGTAAATTCTATATTCTCTCCAACTCTGCATCTGGGGGGAGAAGTACAAGAATGCTGAATTTTCATGCTGTGCACTGTTCAATCTCTGTATACAGTCAATGCCCCCTATGTGGTATCTGTGAGACCCGAGTGTAGACTGATTTCAGAACAAGAGTCTGACTCGACTCATTTGAAGACTATTTTTACATATGGTATCCTTTGAAATTATCCAAGCCTTCCTCAATCCCTATTCCAGGAGAAATCAGCTTAAAGCCAGCTCTCCTTGGAATATCTTAACCAACCAGGGGAGTTCACTTCAATGAGCTGCAACCTGGCTATTAACTTCATATTTAAGGAGCAGGACCAGCAATCCATAGCCCACAGGCCCAAGAGGCCCCACTACCTTGTTGGTTTGGCTTGCGAGTTGAGAATGATCTTTGCCACCCAGGATCAACTTCTTTTCGTGTTCCTCCATGGATGAGGGGGAATACAATGCTTGCCTTTCTGTGTCTACATGTTGCAGCAAAGCGCCCCCACCAGGCTTACTGGGGATGCACACAACGCCAGGGCTCCTTCTTGTTCGTGACTAAGATTGCATTGTGTATCTCCTGTCACTTTTCCTTTATCCATTCACTCGGCCCTTATGCGACCCCATATTGTGGCTATCATGAACAGTGCAGCAACTCCCATAGGGGTGCAGACTTCTCTGACAGATGGGTCAATTTCATTTCCATTTGATCCACACCACATGGTGCAATGTTTCGACTTGTTGGAGGAACCCACAGCCTGTTTCCATTCAAGGATGCAGTAACCTACATTTTCAGCAACAGTAGACCACAGTCCCCTTCCCAGAGGTTGGGAAGGATAGCAGAGGACAGGGAAATAGGAAGTACTAGGTCACTCATCCAACTTTACAGAGTGGTAGAGTAAGCTCTAGAATTTTACAGCATGATGAGTGACTATTTAATACAAATTAATGCTATGATCCCAGTGTGTGTTAACGATAGGTTGTGCTGATATAGGTGGCCATGTGGAGAGATTTGGCATGTTCCAAATGCAAAGAAATGATAAATGAGATAATGATTATGCTATTAGATTGATCTGGTTATCATGTATTATATGCATGCCTTGAAATATCATATCCTATCTTATAAATATGCACAAATATTTTATGCAGTTAAAAAGAGGGAAAATGTTAACAATTGATATTGTGGTATGATACCTCGTAGTTACATGGAATTCAGATTTTATTGCCCACAAGTGGATTTCTGCAGAGCCCCAGCCACACACTCACATAGCCGTGCTTTAAATGAATTTGCACACCATGAGGGCAGAGTGTAGTCTTTGGGACAGAGACCAATGTTGTAGCAAGTCTGGAATCTCTAGACCAACCTCTGCTTATGACAAAGCTGAATGCATTCTGATAGGGTTTTCCCTTTCACATGTTTGCTATAAATGCTAAGAGGCATTGTAAGAGATAATTTCTCCTGAGGGATGCCATGGCATGTCATATATGTGGATAAAGAAATATGCCCCACTGTGGAGCCTCACCATGCCTAGGGATACAGACAAGACAACAAGGCTTGCTTAAGTCAAGGTTTTGCTATTGCCAAACACCAAAGTCTCCAAACAATATTATAAAAGAGTTAGAAAATTGTCACATTCAATTGTATCCTCAGCCATTGCTTTCTGACCAGCTTTCTCCACTGTGAGTAAAGGAAGTAGACTTTAGATAGGCAGGTAGACTTTGCACCCATAACTGGAGATAGAGATGGAGTTAGCTGGACTTTCCAACTAACCTGTCAATCACTGAGTGATCGTGACACCTGCTATTGGGATGTGTGATCGTCTTCCAAGAGATACTGCTTTTATTCAAATTAATATCATGACTTGACTTGGACTTCTAAAGAGGGAAAAGAGCAAGTTTCTGAAAGAGTTAACACATCTTTCCAGATATCTGCACTGGAGTAACAGAAGCAAGAGAATCTTTCCAATTTTGTATTTTCACAGTTAAAACATGAAGTCTGTAAAAGGTTCTTCAGATTCAAGAAAACCTCATGAAAAAGTAAAAATTGGATCACATTAGGGCAGAATTCTTAACAAGACTTCTGAGAATCTGAATGAACAAAATAAAACTTTATTTTCACTTACAGGTAATTACAATTTAGTGTTTCCTTCAAGTAAAAGTTTAGGCAGGAAACCATAGCTTTCATGGTGCATACCTGGGACCTTGACCTTGATACATGTCAGAGAGATTCTCATATAACGTGGTAATTGTTGCAAGATTCCTTTTCTTAAAAAT